CACGACTGCTGCCGGTCCACATCAGTGCTCAGAAACACACCCCGCTGTCAGACTCGGACACTTTGAATCACACTTGTATTTCAAATACACATTTTTTTCAGAAATAAGCAATGCTGGGGCAGTTAGAGTTCTCACAGGGTGACCCTTGGCACCTGCGATGCTAATGTCAGCGTGGTATGTAACAGTTCTGCTTTTCTTCATTCACAAGACTTGCTCATTAGGCAAAGCGAATGCTTAGACCAGCCGAGCTCCAAATAACTCACCCTAACTGAGGTTTCTCTGAAACTGAAACAGGCCAGTAGCAGAGACTGGAAAACGAAAGGAACAGAGATTTGCTGTAGAATTTGGGGAGTTTTGGGGGTGGGCGGGTAGCTATGAGACAGGGCCCCTGGTGAAACTCTGGGATACGCTCACGCACGGTGAGGCGGTCTGGCATCACGGCTGCGGTGCAGCACTGGCCCAGCGCTACACGTGCCATACAGCTGGCGGCACTCACGAAGCTGCCTGGATGAGTCCCTTGTGCACCACATCCACTGCATGGGCCCCAGCAAGCCGTGAAGCTCAGGCACCTTCCTGAAATTTAAGGAACTCACTGCACATGTGCTGCAGCATCGCACATTCAACCTGTCTGGGATCTCCCGGCACATGGCCACCAGAAGCTGCTGCTTCTGTTTGGACATCCAGAAGGCACAAGCAAATGACTGAAGTCCTTCATTTTCAGCCAAGAAAAGAGAAAGCCTCTTAGGCAGAAGAGGAAAGAATGAGGTCGTGTCCTCTAAAAAGCTGGTGGACCTTGTCAACCAGTATCATCTTGTATAGCCCAAACTGTGATCGTCAATAAAATTCATTGCTAGGAAACTACCTTTCCTAACAATAGAAATCTGCTTGATTCAAAGAACTAATTTGAGGGATCATAACAAAACCTCTGATATAACTAAAAAATAGCAGTAAATGTTTACTGTGGACTGCACCAAATCATAGGAATTTACCTTGCCAGGAACACCATGACCTTCTCCACAGGAAGCGGAAGAGGAAAGGCTTCCAGTATGAATGCAACGAAAATAAATCTACCATATGATAAAAGGCAATGATACTTAACATTAATATTTTATAATTACTAATTATAAATTATATATGAATTGTATAAATTATAATTATAAATTATAAAAACACATTGGTTCTGAGTAACTCGAGTGTTGTGACACAAAACAGACCTTTGGGCTTCCTGTTCAGCAAAACCGTTCAGCTCTCACTTCATTACTTTACTAACTAGAGGACAAATAAAAATTAGACTGAAGTTTTCCAGAATCTTAGCAGTAAGTTCACCTTCCAGCAGACCACAGAAGAATCAACGCTCGCTGTTCCAGGAGAGGTAAATTTTCACATCTCTATCGCCAGCCACATAAATTAGGGTCTGATCCTACCCACTCATGTGTGAGAGATGTCTTACAACTGTTTTATAACTAGCACACACTGTTCAACTGTTTTAGTGTATTTTTTAAATTATCTTACCTATAAGTATACCCTAGAAAGCCTCCAGGGGGTTTGAATCCCTAAAATATGAAGCTATACAAGAGAAGCTTTTTTGATTTCTATAATAAAAATATGTATATAGGATGTAGATTTTTTGTTCCCAGCACGTTTCCAAAAAAGTCTGCTCAACAGTAGAAGCATCTCTCCTGTGAAGCTCAAAAGCTGTAGGGCTCCTTTACCTACGAGCTCTAACAAAGCGGTCCTTATTTAGGTCTTCCAAGACAACTTCTTAAGTCTGAAGGAGTTTTTCTAAACAAGCCAAGTCTGGAATTTCTATCTTTGGTCATTTATCTCAGCATCAAATTTCTTACTAAAACCTGGGAGAAAATTGTTGGAAGGTTTTTATCCTCATACAAAGAAATCTACTAATTTCACTCAAAGAATCTTTGGCCTGAGATAGAGGATGAAAAATAGGATCATAAAAGGAATTTGTCTGAGAAAGATGAGAGTGACTGGGAGAAGGAGGTTACAGTGCAAAACAGATTTCAAATTTTTAAAGCGGCAGGCACTACAGCACAACCACCCACTGTGGTACCAGAGAACAGAGCAGCCAAAAGTTGATTTCATTGTCCCATTGTGGAAATGCAGTTGATTTCTGTCCACTTGTATTTCTTCAAGCAAATATCCAGTTTCTCTTAGTTCATTCAAGTAAAAATTATGTACATTTTAAACTTATCTTTGGACTTTATGCTATGTTACTGGACAGACAACAGTATGTAGCATGTAGCATCATTAAAGCACTGTAGAAACATAAATTACTGTCACCCCTCATGCCCTTCTTTGGGGTAAGTAACCCCATGCACCATTAATAAATCATCAGTTACTGAACGGCAGCATTGACCATCTCCCATAGTTCTAGAATAAATACTGCAGGGAAGTATTTACGCTATAGCATGACAAATTATTTTCTTTTTATTAACAGGTGGTTTTAGGAGCAGGTATCATCATCCTCATTTTAACACAAGGACATGAGATGCTGAGTGGGATCCTCAGCTGTATTTGACACAGCTCCAGTGACTGGCATGAAATTACAATGAGATACATGGCCATGGAGGTGTGTGGCCAGTTGCAGTAAAAATCCAGATTTCTAGCACTGGTCTGTGATTTTAGCATCTAATCTTTAAACATCTAGAGCCCAATCTTCAGAAGTACTGAATGCCCCTGGTTCAGAGGGAATAGAGCAGTAGTCACTTTTGTTCTTCAAGGGAGACATCTCTGGACACTATCGATGTAACGTTACCAGCCTAAAACCTCCAAGGTCTCTCTCAGTGGTTAAAGGCCCCAGGGCAAATTGGCAATGGAGCCAGGGTGGGTGGTGTGCTGTAGACCCCAGCTCCTGCGCAGTACCTTGCCCTGCCACAGCCCTGAGCTCTGCCCTGGGTGCTACCCGCATACCAGCCACCTGCCACAGGGGAAAGAAGAGAGATGGTAAGAGCAGTGAAGCCTGGTACTAACACGTACCACATCACACGGGTGGAGCTCAAGAGGGTGGGTTTACAGATACATTGATTTAGCAGAGTCACAAGTAGTCGGAATCCTGTTTTTGTTTCTTTCTCCCTAATTTCTGGTAGTATTATTTGTCATGTTTGCAATACATCTCTTATAAAGTGACTTTAATTTCTGTTATAAAGTTAAAAACAAAACAAAACAAAACCAAAAACAAACACTGTAAAAAGGTTCCCACAAAAATGGTTCTCTGGAAACTCTGTGAACATGATCAGTTGGTGCAAAATAGTTGCCTTCTGGAAAACAAGGCAACAGGGCCCTACTGCTCCCAGCACTTCAGCACAGGTACAGCTCTTACTCGGCAGAATTAGTGCATTCTCATGTGCTAGCCAGGTCAGGGTCTATCTAATGCACGTGCTCAAGTATCCCCACACAATGGAAAGCCAGGATACATGGTGCACTGGACACTGCTTTTTAAACAAAATAATCTCTGGAAGACTTCTATTTTAAGCTCTAAAGTATTTCTAGAGCTTCTTTCTTGGTCAATTTGTTGCATCTACACGGCCAAAGGAAGGTGTTCCTGTAGCTCATGCTCTCCTTATCCAGCTTTTATGTAAAGACCCAGCTAAAGCCTGGGCCACTGCTACCAATCTGCATACAGGCTCCTTAGTTGCCTGGACTGGCATTCTGGCTGTCAGGTTGTGCTAACACCTGCATGCTGAATTTCTACCACTGTTGGTACCCCCACCAGGCACCTAAACTGGCACCGGCAATAAAAAGTGCACACGGAAAAGGCACACCTTCCTTCTGCTCTGTAGGTATTAGCCTCTGAAAGAAGTTACCCTGCACTCAGACTGAGGAGTTAAAAATAAACTGAATAGTGTTGTTTTCCCAGACTTTACAGCTATGCACATGTGCAATGCTTTTATAAAATATTATCCTTCAAACCATTTAAGCAAATTCCCACTCCATGGAGAGATCTGCATTAACTTTAGACAACATTTAAAGAACTGAAAAAGGTCAAATTTGTATTACAATACAAATGGTGACCTTGTGTCCATTAGTGTATTCTGGGCAAGACAACTGCCTTCAGTTGTATTTCTTTAACAGAGGGAAGAACTCTTAATGGCAGTTTCATTAACACAGCAGTTATTAATGAAAAAAACTGAGACACCTTCATTCCATTAGGCATTTTAGCAAAAACAGGCCAAGGGCAAGAGGGAGAGGACAAGGAAAGAAACCGGACTAGCAGAGGGTGCATTGGACATAGGTAAGGCCACAAAACATGAAAAACCCACAAATTTTAATGTGCAAAGGATATTGGTACATTGCAATGCTGGTTATGGTTAAAGAGACTGTACAGCTCCTGTATCTTTGTCCTTGAGGCTTTGTTAAATAAGACTCTCAATTGCAAGTTCATAAATAAAATGGAAATGACAGTAGTGCCATAAAAACGTAGGTAGAAAAACAGTGAAAAGCCAAGGGCTGGACACTTTAAAATGTCACAAGTACCCCCAAGCACTACCATTACCGCTCTTAAAGAAAACACATACAGAAAACATTCTCTATTTATTATAAATGGCAGTTGCCTGCATTGCACTCTGTATTTAGAATGTACTGACTACCTTTCTGCTTCCCTTCGAAGCTGTGGATGGAGAATAAATATAGCTTTTCACATTGGCGAGCACACTGCCTGCCCTCCAGTCACAACTGGTAGCAAAGGCAGACGGTATTCATAAAAGAAATCAATTAGAAAGTAAAACAGACGATATCATTTAAGGCTTTTGTCCCTGCTAGTCTGCTCAACAGACTACACTTTCTTAAAATAAGAACATCTACCACTTCTGTTATAGTAACCAGAGCGTGAACAAAAAAAAAGGTCACATTTATGGCTGCCAAGAAGGCAAAGTTCCTGAGGCTCGGCCAAATGCAACAGCAAAGATTTTTTTTGGGTGCCTCGCACTGTGTGCATGGCGGAGGGCAGACCGGCAGAGGGTGAGCTCAACACAACGCTCAGGCTGAGCATCTCATTTAAACCTTGCAGCCCTTACCGAAAGGGGTTTGGCATTACAACAGATTATATAGTGCAAATTCGTATCAATTCCCACAGATATAAAATGCACAGACGGGAGTCCAGAACAAAAGCCACCACCGGCCAGGGTTGTGAGGAGCACCAGCCATCAAGGAAATAAATTCCAGGGAGCAGGGTCTGATCTCAGCTACTCCTGAGTGAGCCTGGAGTAACTCCAGCTCTTCAGTGAGGTTTCAGCGAACTTATACAGGTGTAACTGATACCAGGGTCTGAATTAGTTTGGTGGTGAGGCACCAAACTAAAATGAAGGGTTCATTAAATGACAGCCTTTCAGATTTAGAGTAACTAAAAATTATCGGTAACAGAGTTTGTTAACCTTGAGCGGGACAGAAGAAATACCCGCCAATGGATGGAGCTTACATTTACACAGCATTTCTCGAGTACTCACTTCAGCAGGTCTGTAAGGTTTTAAAGGAGGGTTTGGCTTAGCCTGATCTGAGTAACTTTTTAACAGGGTTCTTGCTGCTACCCCATGTAAACTGTTGAAAAAATATATTGACTGCCTAGAAAATAAATTGTGCATATGGGCTTGGTACATCCACGCCCATACGGCCACTCTATATATGCACAACCAAGATCCCAATACTGCACAGAAAATAGGAACTGTATCATGGCCTTTCTTAAAATATTAGCTTCATGGTGAGTTTGCTACACCCACGTTACTGACAACAGGCGTGCCCAATGGCAGGGAAATATGCATACTCCTGATATTTCAAGGTAGATATGTCATGTTTGATCTGAAAAAATAATACCTTTCTCAAGGTAGTCCCGTCTCTCAGAAGAGAGAATCTTAGTTAGAAATAGTTTTGTTGGTTTTACTTCTATAATTGAGATCAATAGCATAAATCAAATTGATTTCAATGCTGAAAGAAATGCCATGGCAGCCAGTTGACAGGAAACTGTCAAATACATTTTCTTAACAGTTTGTTACCTTTAACGGGAGACGAGCTAGCAGGCAGAAGAACTTCATCAGGCTTTTCCATCTCCCCCTTTTACAGGATACCCAAAACTTTCTAAGAAATCTGAGTGTCACCGAGAACCAACAGAAAGCATGACAGTAACGACTGGGTCTGCAAAGGCAGCGTAATACTGCAGGATCAAGTCACGTGCAGCTGATGGAAGATGGTAAAGTTCTGGCAGTCTCAAAAGGTGGCTCATATTTAAGGGTCTGAACTACTGAACGGTGTCCTGTTCTCCTTTTAGAAAGCAAAAACCTATACCATATGTACTGCACAATTATCTAGACTTTTCCCACGCTGGGACTTGTTAGTGATAGAGTAGCCTGTAAAGAATAGGCACTTATCCCAAGAATTGGCAAGAAAAGGGAGTATTATTTGGTAGGTATGGCACCAAAATACAACCATTGTGCTTTCTCACATACATATGCTGTACAGATGGAGGCTCAAAGAGACATGGAGTTTTAGGTTGTTGGCGGGCTGTGTTTTTTCTTTTTGCTTCGGCAAGATTTGCAAATGCAGCAGATGATGCATGGAGATGCCACAAGCAGCAAGGGAGAGGTCACCAATGCTATGATACCTAGTCCAACGAGGATCCCCACAACCTGAAAGACATGGTGGGGAAAAATATGTATTTAGCCAATGCGGAAAATCAAATACACGTGTGCATGCATAAGCACAGCATAGGTCACAAAAAATAGATGAAAACATGAAAATGATCATCTTGGTCCTTCACTGAAGGGTAAAAGCTCTTTGCTTCATGCATGCATGAGAGCTTTGCTCAGCTGACTAGGAACGCACCTGCGTTCTGTTCCACATCACGGAAGCCCGCGAGTGGCCCAGCTTGTTTCTGCAAGGGCCTCTGTCATAATGTCTTAAGAAGATATCGTTCTGAAAAACAAAAGGAGAAGCTGTAAGAGCAAGTTACAGTACCGCGGGGAGAGGTTCAAGACTGGACTGGAAATACAACTTCCCTGACACTGCTTTAAAATTACCAGCTGCCGGCACACAAGTTCACCTGTCTTCCAGATAATTACCTAGAGAAACTTCTTGCAGTTTCAGGAAGTGTGGTGTGTTTGGAACCTGAGCTATTGTGTAGCGTCTTTCCTCCCCCACTTTTAAAAAGCACAAGCATGTGCATTGCACCTATTGCACAAGTTCCTAGTCTATAATTTGGTGATGATAAAGGGGCCTGTAAACAACAGATATTTCTGAAAGCTAGCAATCTGAGGGATCACCTTCCTAAGGTACTTCTACTTTCTGTTCTCCTGCTGTCCCTGCACTTTAGAGTCATTTTGTTCCTAGGCTTAACAGGAAAATTTAAAACGTAGGAAATCCCTGTTTACTTTCTCTTTTCCCACTAATACTTATTAAATTATCCATTTTTTTTCTTCAGAAGGTGACTAATGCCCTGCATTACCCTCCCCTAGCCGGCTGTGCTGTAACCTGACGCTGCTTCCTCTTTCATTTTTCAGCCGTACTCTTTGGCTCTGCAGGTCTTACCTTCATCTACACCTGGAGCTCCTGTAAACCTGCACACATTTATAAAAACTACATTTGAATCATACAACTACAGTTTCTTTTTTCTTTCTCCTTTGAACTGACAAAAATTTGGTAAGGGCATGTCTGCAGAATCTGTGAAAATCTGACAGTCTTCCAGTTCAGCATGGTTTTAAGCAATCATTGTGTACTGTATGTACTCTGAGGCGAGCCATAAGACTCATGTTGAAAAAGCATGCTCACACACACAGAAATGGGACATAACGTTAAGCGAAACCTGTTTAGCATGCTGAGAAAAGGAAGGATGAAGAATGAGGAAGTCTCATTGTTTGCTGGCTGTGGAGTACAAAAAAGAAGAAAAGAAAAGCCATGCAGCATCTAACATTTTATTTCAAGTGCTGGTAAAGTCCTTTTCACACTCCCACAGTTACTGATGACTGTGCCAAAAAGGGAAGCTATCATATACACAAGCACATTACTTCCTGTACTCTTAATCCTGCTAGGAGGCTTGAAGTCCATACAAGCTGAGACCAGTTGGTATCACTTGAGAAATAACTAGCAACCTGTGCTTCATAACCCATGTTCATAATCCAACATTCTTATCCTCAAGCCTACTAACCAACCATTCTCTTCAGCAAACACGGCACTAGAGATGGACTAGTAAAGGAGACCTAGTCCATATGAGCTATTAACACACCCGCCCATGAAACAACCCCCTTCACCCAGTACCATACCACTTTTTGGACAGGCTGTGACCCTTGCAGTTGGAGCAGGTGGAAGACACTTATTTCCTGGCTCTCAACAACACTATTTTTACTGAACTGGAAGAGGGAATCAGAGAAAGGTAGTGCTGGAATGGACCTCCAGAAAGCAACCAGTCTGTCCCATTTACCTCAAAGAACTAGCATGGTACCCACAAACATGTCTATAACCCTTTACAGAAAAAGAATAAATAAAAGCACTGGATGAATGAGAAGAAAGAAATGAAGTTAGAAGCTGAATTGAGCCAAGACGTACACTAGGATATCAATGAGTTGGTGGAGAGCTTGTACAGGGCCTCAGACTAACCCAAATCCCATTACCCTTTAGCTGTTTTTTTCCTGCAGCACTTACATCCAAGTTCTGGAGACAGTACCAGCAAAATGTGTGCTTGCAGTTCTTGCACATCATCTGAGCACAGCCCTCATTCCGTTCAATATAGATCCGACAAACTGGGCACTGCTTAATTGGTGCCTCTGTCTCCGTTCCAATAAGTGAACTAGAAAAGAAGGGAAATATTAAAGTGAAACGTGAATGTAATTACTGTTGATATTCAGCTCCACTGCCTAATGTGTACTGTGCTTATCTTCCAGAGCATCTAATGTAGTTGTCTTAATGCACTCAACGTGTGAACCTTATATTCAGTACAATACACTGAAGTATACTCACTACTAGGTATAAGATTATTTATATCACGTAAAAGTGAAACTCCATTCCCTTGGTCTTTTATGCTACATAAAACCAACACTCACTATGCCCACAAACGTATCACCTATAGCATTAAAAATTAGCACTTTCTAAGATAGTTTGCACAATTCATTTAACATGACTGGATTATGCAACTTACAGCACTTGTCCCTGCCTGAGCAAAATAGCCTTAAACTCCACTAAAGCCAAAGATCAAACCTGGAGAAGAAAAATTATGGCGAGACCTCTTTGGTGACTCCTATTGGATTAAGTCTCTAGCAAGCAGGATGCTTAGATTTTAAGTAAGTCTTTCATTTCTTGAAAAAAAATGATAAAAAACTTTGAACACACATGACAACATAATCTGATTCTGAAAACAAAGATGGATGGCCACAGACATTATATAATTTAAACACAAAAGTGTCTTCTTTTTGTAGATTGCCTTATGTAACCTTATCTGTAGGTCATTCACACATATGCAAAATGAGCATAAATCAGTTTTCTCACACCAAATGGGACATTTTACACCCGCTTTGCGTAAGAGTTAAGATTTGTGTATGCAGAGATTCTATAAATATCAAGCAGGGGTGATTTCTTAATCACAGTATAAGAAAAGTTTGGATCCCGGAATATTAGTGTATTGTATTTTTTGTATGGGCACAAGTCATAATTTTAGTATGCAAACAAAGCCGTCAGGCAGATTCAAAGCCCTGGAGGACTTCGCCTTTCATAAGTGTCAGTGACAACCCAAACTTTGTAAGCACACAAATAATATGAAGTATTAAAAAGTAAAATGTATTATTTAAAATAATGATTAGACTGGAATTATATTTAGGAAACACCAGGAGAGATGGACAGTCTCAGAAATGCACCTATGGAGCTAGAAGGAAGCCATTCCATGAAACTGATGTGTGGCACAGAGCTGGCACCCCATGCCAAAAAGAATCAAAAGACCCTATGGCCTCCGTGGGTTCCCCTCTTACCCCTGCTCAGCTGATACTGGAGTAGTTTGGTTTTCCTGGCACAGGCGCTGCGGGTGCCATGCCTCCTTGCAAGAGGAGCAGAACGTCAGGTGGCAAGCCGGGCACTCCACCGGCACCAGCGCTCCCGACTCGCTCAGTGCAATATGGCACACCGTTTGGCAGTCGGCTGCAGGGCACCATGTCCTCTGGGGGTCCAAGTGGACTTCTGAAATGTAACAGGGAGAGAAATAAAACTGTTTATACAGTCCCCTTCTCATTTCAGTGGCATGTGTCCAGGTATGCAAGACCCAGTTCTGCGTGTGGGTGGGGAAGTTGAAGCCCTCCACGCCCATGCCCATGGGCATCGAGCCTACTCCTCCTCTTTAGGCAGGTCTGCAGTTATGCTCTGCTAAGGCAGTTGCACTAGCAGCATCGCAAGACTGACAATACACAACATGGGACGTATTCTTTGCCTTTACAGGGAGGTACAAAAGATGACCGTAACTGCTGCTTGCTGAGAAGCACGCGTCTTTTGTGACATTAGGCCATTCCGTGTCTTTCACGTGTCCAAGCCATGCAGAATCTTTCATGAAAATAGCAGAAGGACTGTCACTAAATTAACATCAAGTCACTTTCTGTGCCTTATTTTCTCCCCTCTATCTACAAACTCCAATTAATATTCACTTTATTATACAATCACTATTTGTAAAGTATCAGATTACAATAGTCAAGGCAAGATTTGGGGTGGAGACATTGAGTCACAGACATCGCCACATGGCAGTGAATGATAAATGTTGATTCTTCCTCTTACTCCCCAACCTTTATTCAATTAATTTGGGCTTGCACCAGAAACCCAGCTGAAACACGTTCACTGTTAGGGGTGCCCACTGTGTGTGCACTTTATACTGCTCAAGTCCATGAGGTGCAGCCAAATACTCCCACCCTGCAGAGACGCTGTGCCTGCAGGAGCTACCTGCATCTCCTTCCCTGGAAGCTCTCTGGTACCACCACTGAAAATAAACAGATGGAGGGGATGTCTCAGGAACAGGTGGAAATACCTGACTGTGAGGTGTCAAAAGCCATTACAAAGTTCTTCTGTACCTCCAGCACATAAAATATTGTCCCACTTGAAACAAAGGGCTGCACAAGGGCCCAGACATATGTTCTCTGGCAAATTTTGCTGAAACAGTTGAAGGCACTTCCTCCTATGCATACCCTGCTGCCTGCACTGCTCCTCTGCAGGAGGTTGCTGGTAGCCCACACTGAAGGGGGCTGGTGGATGGATATCTAGCAGATGCTCCAGTCAGCATGAAACACAGTGATATCAGTTCAGTGTCCAGATATCTAGAAAATAGAAACTGTACAACTAGAAAAGTGTTCAAAAGAGTAAAACTTTCCGCCAAGCTTTCAAGCATTTAGATACACATGCATGAACATCTGGGGAGAAGGACACCCCATAAACTTCATAACCTAACATGCACTAGAAACTCCGTTCTTTTCCAGTATGCCAAACCTCTCTGTTCACCTTGAAAACTTCCAGTTTCTTTAAAGCCATCCCTCCCTCCCGTTTGTCCAGGACACTTATAGCGAGGAACCATGTAAGGATGATCATCCTCTCTGCTGGCTGCACAACACACAGGTACACAATGCTCTGACTACAGGTAATTTTTAAGTCTGTGTCAGAGTGCTCTGACAGCTGTGGAGAATTTCTACATCCAAGACAAAGACTGTCATCTATAATTTAGGCAGGGCCAGAAAAACACCTATACCATCTATCTCCAGCCACTTCATGAATCTAGTTGCCTTCTTTCCTCTTATTCTCTTACACGTGCTTCCTTTGCCCCCCAAAACAAACAAATATTTTGCTTTCTACTGAATGAAAGCCGGAACAAAATAGTTTGCAGCTTCAAAGAAGAGAGAGACATAGATGGGCAGTACAAGCCATTTTACATTTTTATATACTTTTTAAAAGTAGTGTCCTGACTGAGAAATCAGTTTTTTTGTAGCTTCCCTCAGTGTCTCTGAAAAGAAACTCTGAACTGGGTAAGACCATGGCCTAGTACTGGCTATTGCATTTAAGTCTTCACACAGTAGCTTCTGTATGCTTTCTGTTGATAAACAGCAGTTAAAATGAGATAAAATGGAGTTCCTGCAGATAGCTGCTTAATATACTCAACTTTGGAAACCAAAATTCTCCTATCCTGTTTTTGGATGAAAGACAGGATGTCTGGTTTTGACATCATTGGGAGGAGGGGAGTTGGGTTGTAAATCTTACTGATTTTTATAGATTTGTTGCAGCAAGATGTAATGCATGAGATGAAACTCCTTCCTCTCCCACTTCCTCCATTTTACAAAGAACCTACATATGGTGTTTTGCAATCCATGCTGTCTCATACTGTTTGGTTTACCACGGAGTACAAGTGAAACCAGAACAAACTAAAAAGGAGCACCCAAAAAAAGGAAAGAGGCTATCACATTGCTCTGACTAGCTGCTCCATCTTTTGGTTAGGGTCATTTCTCTCCTGAGCCTTTCTCCCGCTACCCTACAGACACTTCAGCCACACTCGCTTCACTCTCAGGAGGAAAGCCTTCCCAAACAGTGCCAGTACCGGGCAGGGATCTGGCCAGTTTCCACAAAATGCGTGAGCAAGCAGGTGAGGTGTGGGAGACAGACAGGGGAAATGCAGTACCCTGAAAAAAGGAGAACTTCTGGCTCAGGAGAGGTACTCACTGAAAGGATGAGATTATGCCTTTCACAGAATATTAGGAACACCTCCTTTTAAAATGGATTACTTTTCGGTCAGGCATAAAATGGAGGTTCTCATCATCTACCACCCAGCCTATTGGGCAATTGTCACAGAAATTGAAATACAATTCATATGTCCTAACCACATCCTATTCCTCTCTTTCGTTACTTCTGATGACCACATCAACTGCATCCTAAACAGATACAGAGCAATTCCTGTTTCTTCTATTAAAATACACCGCGTGGAAGCTCTGTGGCTAGGTCCTGACTGATTGTAGAGAAGTTACAGATATGTTAGAAAGCTTGCTTTTAAGTCTGAAAACATTTGCATTCTAAGAACACAAAAAACACAAGAGGATAGAATATTTTCAGTGCATTCCTTATTAAACTACGCAAGTATCTACAGACACACAATTGTATGCCAATTACTTCTCACTACTTTTTCACCCAGTATTATTTGTCCATTTTTTTAAAAAACAAGGAAATGGAAAGGAAATCTATTTTATTAAAATAGTTAGCACAGATGGGGGATGGAGAAAATAGCTTTTGGGTGTATAAGTCCTTCTTCAGGTCTTCAAAATTTTCCTCAAAATTCATGTCATGATGGAAAATGTCCAGAAGGGTAAGAAGCATTGATTTTACCAATCACTTGAAGACTGGTAGGCAAAGACTACAAAGCAAGAGGAAGTCTTTTGACTTACTCAAGAAGCTGGTTATTTATTTCTAGCATCTCTAGTAAAGCAAAGGGAGTGCTGAAGCAAAGAGCCCATATGTCAACAGAATAAAGCTGAGACGAGAAGGGTCTAAATATAGGAAGCTAAAGGGTTTGAATAAAGGGCTTTGTTGATCAGAGCAAAAATCATGAAGACACCTTAGTACCTGCCTATTTTAAGATCAGAATTTGGCCTATTGCATTTGCAAACATGGAAAAGAAGATGGTACAACAAGGTCTGGAAAACTCATAGCTCTCTATTTATTCCCCTTACCACGCTGCCTCCTTCTCCCCAGCAACAAAAAACCCTAGCAAGCCCAAGTTAGCTCTTCCCCAGCGCCTGGTCTGAAGAAAAAACCTGAAAACTAAGAAAAAAAGGCAACTCAAAATATTTAACATATAAAGGTTTTCTTAATTTTTAAATGAACCCTGAAAGGCTGATAGGAGCAATGCTGCTATTATGCTGTATTTCAGTTCTTCAGAATGTTCTCTGTCATTAAGTAAATCAGTGGCCCTCAGAAGGTGTACTTGGCTCAGCTTCTGGCTGATACCAGCCCTGCCCACTGGGCTGCATCCTGACTGGAGCTCACGTGTTTTTAGGGAAAGGCCCATGGTTCAACACCAAGATTGATGAACTGCTTTTGCTGCTAGGTCAAGGAGCCACGGCTGAGCTTGGCTTAGGGCTGGTGTGAGAATGGATCGTGAGGCACACAGTGTTTGTGGCTGGCAAGAGCCCATGGGAGAGGGCAGAGTTAGGCAGTAGCATCCTGGGCTTTGCTTAGCGCTAGGTTTGAAAAGGGCTAGGTTGCACTATGGCTGACACAGACACACAGCACACATCCGATCTCAGCTGCCGGGAGATCCTGGGCAGATTCCAGGTCAGGATTCGGCCCCAGCAGGTGCCATCAGGAAAGTTTATTGCTAGTTTCAGAAAAAGACCATCAGGCCAGCGTTGGCGTTGGTCGGGCAGGCAGGCATTGCCAGGCTAGGATCATGTCTGAGAACAGAGCTTCAGGCCAGCAGAAGCTAATAAGCCGGGTCCAGCTGATGAGTCCAAAAAGGTCAGCCTTGGGGGCAGTGCTAAACCCAGGATAGGCAAAAGGTCTTGGCCAGGTTTGGGATTAGTGCTGGTGTCCAGGTCAGAACTTGAGTTAGCAGAAAACATTGTTTCCAGGCATCAGTAAGCTGAATTTACTGCTGGGGCCAATAGGCAAGGCAAAAAGGCTAGGGTTTAAGCCTGCCGCTTGCATGCCAGTTTTACTCATGATAAAGGAGGAAGGACAGATCTTAGAAACATCATGAAGAGAGGTAGTGGAGGTGGAAGAGGATTTGTCAGACTTAGGCAAGAAAGAAAAGGGAAGGAGGATTTAAAAAATAGACAAGTTTCAGGCTTCCGTGTGTGGGAGGTAGTAAAAAAAAAAAAAAAAGAGATGTAACAGGGAGTTGGACAAAAGATCATGGAGTTCAGCTTTGGCTAGTTACAGAGGAGGAGATACCAGGAAATCATTAGTTTCACAGTCTTCAGTTAAAAAAAGGTTTTACATAAAACAGATTAATGTATTGCAAGAATGTCTCTCTTTCTTAACCTTTTAATAAGGTGATTTAACAAGCTCTGATTTCCACTGTCTAGGGCTGTAGACAAGCCACTGCTTGGCTTATGAACTGGAGGGACTTCCTAAGGAATTAAGGGTAAACGAGAAGGTAAAATAGGAAGGAGAAATAAAAAAATGAAAGCAGGGTTCAGGATTTTCTTTCTTTTTTGGCCTGAGTGCCTGCAAATCATAGCTACAATCTGCATCTGCCCATGAACTCTGGAGCATACTTAGGTATGCTCATTTTGCAGTTTTTGTACTTCGTGGTCATTCACTGTGACTCATGCCAGATGAGATTCTGTAAAAACCCATCTATTCTTCTATCTGACCATCTTTTCAAGTGCATTACTGTGCCTAACTTTTATGAACCTCTGCATTTTTATATACATTCCCAATCCATCTGCATCTAAGCATGAATGCAAAGCAAGAACACAAATACAGTCTTTCAAGGAAAGTCTGAAAACAGGCAGAGTCAGGGCAGATCAGTCCCAGATACACTACCCTGCAAGCTACCACGGAGTGAGTTCTTTGAAAAACGCTGCAACTTCCAGCTGAGACTTTCAAGTTGGTGTCAGTCTTTAAAACCAGCATGGGACCTCATCTTACTGACTAGCAAGTTTCTTCTTCAGCCTTGGCAAGGAACCATCTCTCCTGAAGCAGAAGGCTGACCTCTGGCATAGGAAAGCTTGGCCCCAGTGAGACCTTCAGTTTCAAACTTCTTTACTAATAGGACTTACTCAGTAATGAGGGGTCCAATTATCCCTCAGGAAAAAATAAAATATACTAGATGAACACACATGAGGCTTCTACATAAGAAAAGCTCTCTTGCAGGGATGTTTGCAAAAATCCCCATCACACTACAGGGTCTGTCCCCCTCAGAAGTTCTGACGATCCCTATGGATGTATGAAAGGACCATGTGTGCCCTGCACCAGCTTCTAGTACCTTGTCCAGTTCTACCAGTACAACCACCACCTCAAGGACCCAGAATGAGCATGCTAGGGGAAGAACGATGGAGCCTCAGGCAGGCAATCTGAGAGTTGCCCACAAGCCTGAGTCAAAGTGTGGTATTTCAGTAAGATGCCACTCTCTTGATCCTGCTCCACTGAAATAATTTCAAATTTGTCTGTGGAGCACAGTCAGACCTAGTGATGCTCTTAAACTATTTCAAAACAAAGACATCTTCTCTCTTTCTTCCTTAACTCACCCAACAGGCTTTGTCTTTGCAGTATGTAATACTGCTGCCTCCACTGACACTTTAGAAAGGAAGGTAATAGAAACCAAAAGGTTCACACCTCGTTCAAACTTCAGCCTCTTGTATAACTGAAACTGGTCAACAGGCACCAAACAGGCAATCTGAAATGAGAAACAAACACACAGAAAAAGCATTAGAAACATAGACTTGAAAAAAATTAATAAGCACTCTGTTCTACACGCCTGCTCTCCTGAGCTGGCTCTCAAATCAACCTTCTTTTCCTACTTGCTTTCACCACCACGTTCCTCCGTACCTTGACTTCCTTCTCCAAAACGTAAAGTAGTTCTTGACCTCTCCTATTTCAGCCACACAGCCCAGAAGTTCAGCCCACACCCTTCTTACCATGCATAGGAAAGCCTTCTCTGTGGATTCTGTATTTACTTCAGGCTTCTCAGTTTTATTTCATGTTGGTTTAATGTAATGAAGGGTGACAGCTTGCCAGCCTTGAACACTGCAGCATGTTGTTCATGCACAAGAATACAGCTCAAATGAATGATTCCTCATTCATGTCTTCCAGTCTTAATGGCAGGGGTCACTTAGCTCTCAGGAACTTAAAAGCTAGTCTGGTTTCCATTTTTTACTCACTTCACGGGTTTTGGGCTGAGCCAGTTAATGCCATTGCTGTTGGAATTTGCCTTAGACACGCACCAGCCGACTAGGAACTGGACTGAAGTTAACAAATTTAGTTGGCATAGACAAACAGGCTTTGCTGATACTTTTTACACATTACCATAATTAAACTAGCAGCCTAAAAGGCTGAATGCTCTAATCTCCAATTAACAGTCTACGTAAGAAAACCAAGTACCCTATTTAAAACTAGTAAGCAAACCTGCATACAGGGTAAGGACGGGTTCAAAAGAAACTTCACAGACACTTCAGGAGCCACATGTTTGTTGGACTCAGAATCTGAGATCATTCCCTTTATTTGATCCATTCGTAACACGGTACCAGCACTGAAAATGTCTTTCTCTTTTACTGAAAATAAACCTAGACTAATACTAATACAAGACCTAATCATTTGAAGCACTGTGAGACAGTGTAGAACTGACAGCTTCTAAGTGAAGGGCTCTCAACCCTCACATCCAGTATCCCACCACAGTCTTTCAGATTACTGTAAAAGGCAAAATGTTGCCCTCAGTGAAGTGGACACTTGCCCTTGCTATCCTTCTGGGTTGTGTGACATGGCACTCATGAGAAGAAATACAAAGACAAAAAAATTCAATATATATTCAGTATCATGCTGTGAATACATTTGCTTTCATAGATGGAAAAAAGAAAAAAAAAATATCCATTTGTATATTATAAAATACAAAATTGCTTTATTAAGATCTCAAATCAATTGGAATTAAAATTGCATTTTGAAGCAGATGTTTGGATTACTTATTTGACCTAAACCAATGTCATACAAAAAATAATCCAACTGATATCAAGATTTAAGTGTTCAAAGATACTTAAAAGACTTATAGTTGAAGAAATCAAAGGATTTAATATCAGAATGGGAAACACCAACAAATCTTTGCAAAGCATATTCTTAGACTAGTAAATCAGCACTGGGTCAAAGTACTGTCCTCATTCAGTTTCTGAATTCAGGGTGTAAACTATTTTTAATATGAAAGTATTTGCATGGCTAAGCAATAGTACATTAATATGACTGTAAGACACAGAGAGCTTCCTGGAAAACTCTTCACCCGTTCATCAGAAGTCAGCTGAAACACTCCTGAAAACAAATAACAACTTAATCAAATGGGGAAAAAAGCATGAAGTTCAGCAGCTTCAGCGAAGAACGAAGCCAACCAACAAAGCTATATAAAACCCACAAGACACATCATTTCAGTATTGCCCACTCCTCCCCAGGGCAGCTGCAAATCTAAATAGAGTTTGGAAAACAAAAAGAGTCATCTGCTTTTCTCTAGCTGGGTGAGCATTGGCAACTACTTTAAATTTTCCCTTCATTACGACTAAATTAAAACAGAGAGTCTCAATGCTGTAAGAGCCACTTGAGTGAATTGTTTAGTTGTCTGGGGTCTTTCTGTGCTTGCTCTTGCTTTTAACAAACAGTTTTTCAAGAGCAGAATTTCCCATGTATTAAAAATCGGCCTTTTTGATTACAGCGGGAGCAGAGTCAGGAGTTTTACTGCAGATTTCAATGGGAAGCAGAGTCAGTGCTGAAAGCTTCCCTTTCTCCTCTTGAAAACCTAAACTTACCATGCCAGCCTTTCCCCCCCCCGGTTTCACCCAGCCTCACCCTTCTTCCTATGTAGCCTCTTCACAGCTCAGCTCCCCCCTCCCTGCACGCAGCTCCGGGCACCGACACACGCAGCCCGTCACCTCTGCCACTGACTCCCGCAGGCTTTGAAAGACCAGCCTCTGATAGTACCCACATGGAGGTAAACCTGCGAGGTGCTGAGCCAAAGCCCCTCACAGATTTAGTATCTTTAGGCACGAGGAAAGGAATGCACAATATGCTGCTGCCTGGATTCAGTGCCACATCAAAGCTGTACGCGCAAACTCAACTGAAAAAAAAATGAAACGTGACTATCAGGTCCCCCAAAAAATCAGCAAATCCTATCCTCAGTGAACTTTTAATCTCATTTACGCTTAATCGAGAAGGACAGCCGTAAGCATAGTTAAGGGGATTAGGTGTTTATCTCCTCCTACTTGGCATCAGAGTCTAAATGTTCATCTTCATACAACTTCTCCAGCCCCACACAGGAGTCCATCCCAAACACCTCCTCTCTTGCACAACCGCACATACACCTGGGCTGGACAGAGGATGGACATCTGGGGAGGAAGCAAACCAGCAACCTGGCAGATGGCAAAGGGCCAAAAGAGAAAGACCATGAGCACTTCAGAAAGCAGACGTTTCTTACTGTAGGCTATGAAATTATTCAATGCAGCAAGAAATGCTACAGGACAAGTTTTGGGGCTTTTCTTTTTAAATACTGGGTTAAGCTTACAATAAAAACCTATGAATAAAATGAGAGGCAAGGACTCTCCTCTCCTGAAAAGATGCTGATTTGAGACTTATCAGATTGTTGGGAGTTGAAATAACTTTTCTGGTTTTCTATACTCTGTAAGCAATGTCTGCAGTTAAAATACTCTTGTTATAGAGCACAAGAACACCTAAGAGCTCTTGCTAAGAACAGCAGCTTCCACCTGAAGTAAAAATATCCATGGAAAAAAAGCAAAATTTTGAAGGCTTACTACCACAAAAGGCTCCAGCTGGACCCTTGCCAAGTGTCCAAAGAGATTGCCCAACATGGTATAGTAACCAGGGGTGCTATTACTACGCGAGACAAAAGAGCAAAGGAAGTTAAATGAAAGGATATGAAATAATTGGGTTCAGTTTACACAGGGGCAGACTGTTCCTTGTAACCCGGGCAGTGCAGTAACCAGGAGCCAAGGAAGAACAACTCCCCTGTTTTTAAACACTGGCTACCACAGTGGAAAGGGAAAATCACTACTCCACCTATTCTCAGGCTTTCAAGGGAGATGCAAGGAGGCGATCAAGAAAACTGAATAGATCTTACTTCCTTTCACACCCGTATGAATCAAACCTTGACAATGCCAAGGGAGGAATGTTCACCAGGACAAGTGCTTCTCCTTTTCTTGCTTTAGCAGATACACAGCAAGGGCAGATCCTGCACTGGCAGCAGCAACTGCTACTTGCAAAGGGTTGCATTGCCCACCTCTGCGAAAGTCCCACTCACAGAGGCACTGTCTAGTTTTCCAAGCAGCGCAAAATAGTTTTAACTTGGGCTGTGGTTTGCTTTTGAAAGGGGTATGGGGGTTCAAATCTCTTCATTGTTAGAAATTACATCCACACCTTCTTCATCAGCTAACATGCTCACTAGAGTCATCATGAAATATTGAATTATTCATTTTCTCCATTAAGGAGCTCTTCTCTTATTTAGTGACAAATAAAAACAAAATTAAGACTCTCTCATTTCCTCCCCTTGGATTTCTTTAAAAATGAGTAAATAAGAAGAACAAACATTTTAATTTTGACCCTGTAAAAGATAGGTTGGCCTGCAACATTTTTTCACCTTCCTCCTCATTTTACCATTTCAATTGCCCCCAGCAAAATGTAAACCAATTTTCAAATTAAAAATAAAACTGGTATTTTAAACTGACTCCCAATGCGATTTTTGTTCAGCTACGTACAGAATATAACGCAATTAAGAATTTTAAGATCTGGGTCACTGTCCCATTTCAGCATCACTTTACAAATCACTGACAACCCTCTGCCGGGTTAGCACTGGTGTAGAGCATCGATTTACACAGATGGAGGGACAATAAGCAGAATCTGCACTGCATGCAAAGGGGAAATTCTCCTTGTCTAACTTAAGAGGCAAAAGGAGAGCCCAAACCAGTATCTCCTTTACTGCCTGCTGCATGGTTTTAATCCAAATCAGATTATGTATAAACGGATCATTGGCATCAACATTACAAGCTTCAAAACAATACACGAATCAGAAATAGCAAAGCACAATCCCCTAGACATTATCCAAGTGAGTACTGCATTAGAAATCCCTGTATGCAGTTGAGACTTACCCTGATTCATAGCTTACACTGGTGATTGGATTTGCACCAAGTAAAACCATTTCAAACCATAATAAATTATCCCTTATTTAGATTAGGGATATTAACTGGTCCAATTAAATCAATGGAGCAAATTCCCAAGAGAGACAGGAATATTCTAGACTGAAGTCTGCATGGTTAAAGAGAACTGCATTAACATAAGATGTTCCTTCTACCTTCTGCTTCCCGGAACGAATCCAAATCATCTTTGTTTATTGTACTATTAGAGCTCGAAAGGACAAACATCTTGTTTAATGAGACTGCTTTTAAACTTTCCTTTTTTTGTGTGTGTAACCAGCTATTTGAAACAGAGTCTGTAGCCAAAACCATTGCCTTCCCACCACCAACACCCATTTATTTCTAGTTAAAACCAGCTATACTACAAGCAGCTGCTATCTTGATGGAACAGGTCAAGATATGACCTAGGACTGCCCTTGATTTCAAGCACTCCAGGGGAACAATTCCTTCTGTTTGAATGCACTATTTGTCAAAACAAAACAAAACAAAAACACCTTCTTCTGAGGTCCAATGAGACACAATGTTCTAGCTCACCAAAAGTAAAGCCTTAACTCCCAACATCTCCTATACTCAGAATAAGTAGTTTACTCCCCAAACACTGATGAAATATTCAACTGTTTTAGAGACACACGTTCCTATTATTCACACTTCCTCGTTTCTTCATAAGACATACAAAAAGAAATTCTATTCCCTGTTTAAAATGTTAACCAGAGTTTTTGCCCCCCTCCATCCCTCGAAACCAACACAAGAAGCACGTGTCTCAGAATCAAGGCAAGAGCTGTGAAAAGGCTCTCATAATTTAGTACCAAACAAGATAAACTCTGAAGAATTTTACCAAGAAGATAAAACAGACTTAATTCACAATGAAGACAAATAGGTCACGGGAAAGCACTGCAGAAATGTTACACACCTTGAATAAGAGGGAAGTAGAGGAACTTTCATAGCTATAATGTGTTATAAATTGCTTATAAGCTTTGTTATTAATTGTTCAGTTTCCTTATTGAAGTGAGCTCAATCCAAAATGCACTGAAGTCAATGAAAAGGCTTTCCTTCACTTCAAATTATGTCTAAGTTCACCTTATCTCCCTTGTGCAGACTGGGGCAAAAGGCATTTAAAAAGCAAACAAAACAACCATGTTAGCTGACATAATTACACATAATTTAGCCCAAAATATAGGAACCAATTTAACACCATGTCCACGACAAAGACAGTTTGAACTGCTATTTTTTTCTCCAAACTGTAACAGTACCTGATAAACATCAGTCACAGGAGAGTCTGGAATGGACATGACATGAAAAATACACTTTTTCAAAACCCTGATGCTAACACAAAGGAGATAAAAAGACCAGTTGTTTTTTTTTTTTCTCCCGGTACAGGCAACATGTCATTCCTTATGGCACTGTTCTGGTGAGGAACCTTTTCCTGCCAGAAGCCAGAGACAAAACATCCAGACCCTCCAGAGGCAAGAAGGCTCATACTTTTACACCAGGAGTTTCAGAGTGTGTAATGAATAAAAAGTAATTCTAAATAGTACTTCCATGCCAAACAATAGCCATATTTAAGCACATTCTCTACCATCTGAATAAGGTTCTGTTTTTTAAATAATAGCTTTTAAAGGCTACATTTTCACATGGAACAGCCTTTATAGACAAGAAAAAAGAATACAGAGTGCTCATATATAATCTGTAGTTTACATACTAATCTTTCAGATTATTAACGGAGACAATCTGTTCTTTCTATTGTTCCTGGGTTTTTGGGGGGTTTTCTTCCTTGAAATAGATATTTGGTAAAATACAGAAGCAGTTCATTTTAACCAGGTTGGGAGGCTGTTTGCTTTTCAAGCAGAAGGTCTGTGTTTCAAGTGCATCACCAAAAGGGAGCGTCAGAACATTCATTCATCCACAGGACACTAATGCACATTTGGGCTGTTTAGTCATTCTGCCTTCAGCCCAAAAAGCACCCAAGGATTAAGCTAATGGTCCATTAATACATGCCCTGGAGTGTATTCCTGCTTTAGTAAGGGGAAATATATCTCTATAATTCCTATAGCATCATAACCCTAGCTTAACAGAGCAGAATTCTTCCTACCATTTGTTAATTTTCTTTAAAAAATGCATTTTCAATAAAGGCTAGTTGTCTCCAATCTGGTGCAATGGGTGGGAGGGGCATTGCTATGCCTTCTCCGTATCTATGCAGAAGAAAGGAGGAAGGGAAGCACCTGGCTACTTTCCACAATAGCTGGATTCAGCCAAAGAAAAGCTCCACCATATGCCTGCACACCATAACAAACATAGCTGCGACTCCCAGGCCTTGATTCAACTAAGCACGGCGTTTCAAATGCATGTTGGAGAGGAGATCCTGAATTTTTCTGGAGAAAAAGGCATTTTTGATATTGGGAATTGCATTGCCACTGATTGCATTTGAAGAGGATTATATACTTCTACCACAGTTATGTCATCTGTATACACAGGGCTCAAGGGAACCTGGAAGATAAACTGCTTTTCTTCAATTCAGGGATGGAGATCTGATTCTCCTTGATTTTGTCCCTGCAAACAAATGCAGAGAGAATGCACAAAACCAGCCAAAATCCCTTAACCACCTTTTTTTCCTGGTTTGTTTTTTTTCCTGCTTGTGTTCCCAGGCCCAGCAGGGGCCCGCCTGGCTCACAAGGCAAGCAAGCAAGGATAGCTGCAGGGCAACATCAGATTTGCCCGCAGTTTTCCATGGCCTTCTACATGCACAGAACACCTGGCATGTATGAGGGTTCCAGCCACGCTGCCAACAGCTCCTCCCCATGTCATGGGTTTGGCGCTAAGCCCAATTCAGAAACTTTACACCGGCCCTAAGTCAGGCAGGAGGCTGCTTGAGCATTGCTGGGAGACCATCAAGGAGCCTGGTAAGGGGCCATCTACAGCCCCCTTGAGACCCGTTGTCCCAAGCAGTACAAGAAGGTCTGAGGAGCACACTTCCCCTCCAGTTTCTCCACCTTCAACTTCCGAACTGAACCTTCCAGTTACTTGTGCACGTGCCAGACGTGCAAGCAGCTCTGCCTAAACCTCATATAGCTTCTGAGCTTTCAACCTCTCCCATCTCTGCCTTGGGAATGAAGACACTTCTCATATCTCTTAAGACGTACTTCTACCCGTGCTGTGCAGATACCTTTCTTTCCATATAACTATACAGAGTCTTGCATGCTTATATTGGGCGGCAAATTGTTTGTTGCAGCCCAATATAAACATGCGTGAAGAAATTCTGGCCTTGTGTACCATCAGTTTGAGTTCCTGCTCTTGAGTTAAGAGAGGCACAAGAATTTCAGTGTTTGCAGTCAAATCAAATCTGATTTAACTGAGAGTACTGATGGAGGCTTAGCAATTCTGGGATACAGGGTATTCTGGTTAAGTCACCTGCATGGGTAATTTGGAGGTTGTCTGGATGCCAAGTAAGCCTTTCCTCAAGGCACAGAGGGAAGGAAAAAGGAGGAAAACTCTTGAAAAACATCTGTTTGTTTCTAGTTCCTCTTGTCAGTCAGGCTTCTTGCCAAAAGCTCATTAAAGGTAATCAAAGGGAGGAAAAAGTGTATGATCATATTTATTAAGTAGATAAAGAAGTTTGGGGGGTTTATGTTAAAAAAAAAAAGAAAAAAAGTGTTGATACCTCTGCTTCTTGTAGGGTCCCATGGTTCAAGCATACCATGTCTGGACATGTGATAGGAGAACCACAACCTTCTTGAATTGCCAGCTGCATGTACTGTTTTAGGCACTAGAAACAAATAAAGAAAAGAAAAAAAAAGTTAGAGGCCGTATGTTGGTAACACACAGATGCTAGAGATGCTGCACAGCTACCACCTCCACTGCCTTAATTGGCTGTCCTGAAGCTCCTGCACACAGAAAACATCAATTATTATAAGCGTGAATGCTACAAGTCATTACATTGGAAAGAATGCAACAAAGAACAATTAATTATGCATGACTTCATCTGCCAAGCATTGCGTTTACCCAAGTCAGCAAGTCAGACCTTTCAGTGCTAACAAGCCCTACGCTCTGCTAAACTGGGATTGGAGGATTTAGGGGGGGTATCTTTCATCCTAATTAAACAGGCTTTGCTCTTTTGTCTTTCCTCCTGTGTTCTTAATTCAGACTCTCAGCCAGCAGTCTCCATTGTAGGAGACCTCCTTTACAAGAAAAACACTACTGTTCTCAGCTGCATAAAAAGGGAAGGGGGTGTATAACCTGGTTAGGAGGTTGTAATCTGCCCTAGAAGATGAGCAGCTATCAGTTCTTTCCCTCCTCTACCTCTTTCCCCACAGAGATCAGGTAATTTCCATAGTTTACCATGATTTATCATCAGCCTCTGGTCTATTGAGCAGGAGTTCAAAGTCCATTTCCAGCATGGAGGCCACCTTATGAATGTTTCCAAATTGTTTCATTACACAAAAATGGCAGGACTCCCCACTCCAAGGAAAAAAGCCCTCTGTTCTCCCCACATTCTAATTGGCATGCCAGTTTCAAATATATTCAGCTTCAAATATATTCAGCTTGTCTTTTTAACACGTATTATAGTGTCTTCAATAAAATCATGGCATAAAACTGGTGCAATGAACCAAAGAACAGTGCTCCAATTGTATCTCCAAACTGCACAGGTAAGTGAGTGAGCTTACTTCTAAATAAACAAAACAACCAAGTCTCCTCAAAATAATGACAAAGCATACAGTAAATTGCAAATCACTGTTAACAAAATAACAAAACATGGATTTCTGGCAGATTTTGGTATCAGCTTGAATAGTTTATTGTAAATTAAAACCAACATACTTTACAAGCAGCAGGACTAATGCAGCTTTATTCCCTACAGATTTGTATTTCATGCCCACGTGATAAACCTCTCCTCATCCTCCTCCTCAGTACCGCTGCCTTCTTCCCTTATTGCCCCATCAGTTTTCAAGAAATATGTCAAAACGTAAGGTCTTTGAGACCTCTGTCTCTCTGCTAACTTTGGGAACAGTCACTGAGTTCAAAAGCTACTAGGTGGGTTATGGGTAAATCACAGCCTTCCAGAGCATCAGCTCTGGTAAGGACTCTTCACAAATGCCTATAAATACTGGAAAAACAGTTTAACATTCAGGTCTGCGTTAGTTTGGACTGTTCTGAGAAGGCCTTGCATATTGTGCTCTGATTAAAGACATTTCCTCATTTGTATTTTTACTGGAAAACTGGTAAGTAGAATCAGCTCAACTTAGTGGCATTTTAAATGATTACTTTTTATTTGTAAATATTTGAAGCGTATTCATTTAGAAGAACGTAGGGGTATAACCTAAATGGTAAGCTTTAAATATCTAGCTCATTAAGCACTAATGGATTCAGATCCAGCACGCACCCCTATAAGAAAGCAGCAGAGCAGGCTGTAAGGAATTGATGGTGCAAGTATTATGTGGGAGGTGAGGGAGATACTCACAGATGAAGAGCAAAAAAGAAATCATGTCAGTAACTGAAGGCAGAACTCCCTAGGGAATATCAGCCCAGATTTAACCAGGAGCTATTCTATTATTCAAACAGCAGTCTCAGTGCCCTGTCCCATCTCCTCGCCCACCTCTCCCAAAGGCATCTAGGCACAGTGCTTCTAAAAAGTCAGTTTATCCATTGGATCAAATCACCCCACTAGCACACACAGCTCCTCCACAGAGCAGTAAGCAGAAGCAGGTACATAACCACGGTGGTGCCTGGGAGCAGGTACCCTAGAGACACCAGAGCTGATGGGGCCCTGCCCATACCTGCTGCCACCATGGTCTGGACAGTGGCAGCAGGTGGCACAGGGAAAGCCAAAAACAGTTTCCCTGGAGCCCAGCGTGGCTCCCAGTGCTATTACTGATGTGGATAGACTGTGGGTGACCTGCTCCTGCAGCCCCACATTCATTAAGCACCTGGCATTGCCCACATGCTTCAGACAATACCACAGGAGAAATGGGGTATCAAGTGCTCACTCCCTCCACAAATTTCCTTCCTGGTTTGTGCCTGTACCCAGCCTCCACCATAAACAACGCAAACAGAAAATTCTGCCCTCCGAGTTCCTTCCCCAAAGCCCGCACGTGCTGCAGTGTTTTGGGTGCACTTCTTAGATATGTGGGTGATGCTCCAGCAGAGCCTCCTTAACATCTTACTCCCTCTCCTCATGGGAGACCTGATTACTTTCTGGATCAAGCGTCAGGGCAGCATTTGGGGAAGGGGGAATGTTTCCCTCCCGCCAAAGCATTTAGTTTGCCTTAACTCCTCAGCAAGCATGGAAGAGCAACCTTTTACTTTTGCTAAGATCTTGGCTTCTGTCTCCTCTGTGGTGCTGCCTGATATTTAGTAATTTGCTTTGACAGCATGGTACAGTGGATTTGTATTCTGGGGGCAGCTCAGGTCAGCCGGTTACAGATGGAGGACAAAGTCTGAGAAGTTACTGCAGGCCTAGCAGCAGCCCAGAGGCTTGTTCTTAATTTAGACTTCCAGGACAGAAGCTCAGAGCACTGACAATTACCCTTCTGCGCAAGAACGGGCATGAAGCTCTTAAGGAGCTTCAATCCACAGTATGGATTTTGCAATCAGTTTTGATATGCAGTATCTAAATCACTAGGGGTACCAAGCCAGGAGAACAGAGGTTTCGAAGGATTGCTAGTGCATCTGGATTCTCCTTCTCTTCTAGCTCACTGCTTGGTTGTAGGTGAGGGTAAGTGAGCAACCGCAGCCTTCTGTGATACTTTTAGAGGGTGCTGTGCTTTCAGAGGGTGACTTGGAGAGATTTTGTAACAGGTCTGTGCAGTGCCATGGATCTTCAAATGTTTCACAGAAAACCTCCCTGTTAAATAGTTTTTATAGATATTAAATCTTTTGCCTTGACTTTCTGTGCGTGGAGAAGGTGGTGTGGGTGCAATTCAAGAAGATGATGGAAGTACTTAAAGGTGCTGGGAAACCTGAAGGAAGCATTTAACACTTACCACTGAAGGATTAAGCTTTTTACCTAAGTCTGTACATGAATGAAGATGTGAACTTCTTGTTCCCTCTTTCACAAGTTAGCGGCAAAGAAGAGACAGTGGAAAAATCATTAAAATTTTAAAATATGCCTTCACTTTAACACTAAGACTGTTTTTAGAGGGGTTTTACTATTATTTACAGCTCAGCTACTAATTTAGCTACTTACTTGAAAAGCAAATAAAAGTATCTGAAAAGATGTACAAGCTGCAAATGTGATGAAAAGAGGATTCAATATCTATATAATGAATCATGACTGACCTTCTAAGCAGTATGTCCTCCCACACTATGGAGAATACATTATACAGACATAAAATGGTAAGACTTTTCATGCATTTTGTCTACGAAAATCAGCAGTATCTCAGTTAGGAAAACTGCATACACTACATATGCTACTTAATTGCTCTACAAAGTTAAGATCAAGATAGCCTTCTGTGGTATTAGAGTTCCTTGAAAGGATCTTAACCTTGACATCCAAGAAATCACCAGGTCTCAACACACTTGGGCTACACTCCTCCACCAATTTCCCACAGTGCAGTGACTTATAGGCACGGAGAGCAGCCAGTGGCTGGAGAGGCTGCACCACAGGACCCGTGGCTTACAATGACAGTCATACAATACCATCGTCTCACTCTCCATGGTCAGAGCAAGTCATCAGCAGTGACCTTCCTACCAGCACAGCGAGGTTTCCACGAATGCGTCACATAGTCAAGGCAGAACGGTTGAGGCAACAGACTAAAAATCTACTGAGGTCTTGCTGAACAGGTTTGAATCCTGCTGACTACAGACGAAATTGGAGGTTTGGCTCCATTACGTTCACCCCTCAAATAAATGGTAGACACCAACCCAAGGAATTTTAACTTCCATACCTGCAACTGTACCCTAATCAGTTATGTTCAGTTTACTCAGATTTTCCCCACTGAGCAACTATACCATGTACGTATCTGTGTTCTGGGGTACATCACAAAATCCTGATGTAATCAAGCAAGAGAGATCAATTCAAATGTGATAATGTAATTCCACCAGTAAAACTCAGTACACCTAACAGAAGGTTTTGGTGCTGATCTAACTTTGCCAAGCATGTTTTGCTCCTGCTGGACTACTGTCAACTTCAGTGGAAAGAGTTCTACAAGTAATCTTTTCTCTGCCTGAGATTCATAATGTATAACGAGACCTTTTTCAAATAATTTGCTGTCTAAGCATTTTGGGGCAAGAATTTTTTTCCTTTTACGCCATTTTTGTCTTTCAGGCCATCACCTTCTTCTATTTAATAAAATAAGGTCAATATCCCTTTACCTACTTCACAAGATGCTACTCAAGAGTATCCAGTAAGTTAAGGCCGGTAAAGTATCTGGATCAAATTATCATAGTACATGCAACATATATACATTTATTTTTTATCTTGCAGGACTTGTAAGAAAGATTACAATTTAGGCAAATATTTACATATGCCCCAAGTACACATTCCTCTCCTGGAGCTAAGGCTTTGTTGAAAGTGTATGTTGTAACATGAGGGAAGAATCTTAAAAAAGCACTGAAAAGCCCAATCCAGCAATGCACAAACTAATAACATAAAAAATTCCTTCTTCAGTAACAAACACTTCCTCTAATCTTCAAAAGTGTTTTTTATGGTCAGCTGCAAGCCCCAGGAATAGAAAATTCTATTCAGGCTATTAATGGATTCTTCATTTCAACACTTCTCCTACATGCTGCTCTAACTTCAACTTTTTTTTTTCCCCAAAGCATATTGTATGG